CCTAGAATACCTGCTGTGTCTTCAGTTGGTTTATTCGATTTCCCACTATCGCTTTCCTCGGAAAAATTCTCATGTTTCTATAAAGTTAAAGTTTGATTCATTTGTGTTAGTAATAGTTTATTAGTAAATGTTTATCGGCCAGTTTCAATGATTATTTCAAAAGAAACTGTGTTGCATTTTACATTAAAATAAAGCCCATAAAATGCAAAATAGCATACCAGTCCTTATCCAATTAGTATCTTAGAAAGTTCTATAGTTTAAAGTGTTAATCTTTTGTTTATATTTTGCCGCTTTTTAAAACTAAAAAACAATGATAGTATATTGATACGAACCATGATACGAACAACGCAACATGCGTTCAGTGTTGTCGTAATTAATAGCCTAATACGTCATGTTGAAACAACCTTACGCTTGGAATATCAGAGGCAAGAAATTCGTAGGCTATATTATACTGAACCGAAATTTAAAAGATCGAGGAGCTTTTTACATAATCCCAATTTTCCTGGGTGGAATGCTTTAAAACAGGACGATCAGACGATAGTTAAAATGAAAAGTCAAACAGCGATTCATCAAACTAAATCCGTGTATACTATGAAAATTATGACTGCTTCGTTTATGATTTCTGTACATTATAATATACGGTAAGTGGGATATAACGGACAACGTGTCTGTGTTTCCCCCCGCTTTATCTCTGCTTTTTAGCCAAAAATATAATGTATCAGAAAGTAGGAAGGAATATACCAGAGGAACAAAGCAATATTATCATAATAGTTCTACTTCTTAAATATTTACTAGGAAAATAATGCGGGTTTTCCTGTTGATGAATGATGCAATTTGTTCATAATTATTTAAATTCAAAAGAATTATTCTGGCGAAAAGCTAGCCCACCTAAACAGCACGGACGAGATTTAAATTTAAATACCTGATGAAGTTTCCTTGGCGGTGCACTAATACGAGAATTTCTCTGAACTGAATACTTCTTTGAAAGTGAACTCCATATTTTACTATTTTTTACTTCATATTTGAGATATTTTTCGCCACACCTTTTCCCAGCACCGACTTTCTTCAGTAAACCTTTTTTTTCGAATTGCGCCATGATATTTTGAAGACATTTCTTCTTTTTCTCCAAGTGCAACTTCAATTTTCTGCTATCTTTTTTTTTAAAATCCCAGTAAATAGAGCTAATGTTATCTACATTATTAAAACGCAGAATGAGACCCTCCTCTTTTAATGTAACCAAATGTCGAGCTTCGATATGTTTTGCGAGATAATCGCAAACAAAGTCGTCAAAAAACGCATTCGTCTTTCTGCTGGAACAGGAACCTATGAAATGAAAAACAAAGATGTTAGTTGATAGTAACAGTAGGCCTACATAATTGCACTGAATATTTACATTGTATTGCTGTAGCAGATGCCAGGGGAGGTGCATGACAATCTCTCCACCCTAATTAATATATACGTGCATAAGAATATACTAGCCAAGTTGGGAAGCCATAAAAGGGAATTGCATGTTTGCTATTCGTGATAGTGTCCGGATAACAATTATTAGCATGTACTCGGGAGGTTGCAGTTGCTTTTCGCAAAATTCGATTGGTTGCTCAGCTCCGGATTCCCTTGCACTGTTCACCTCCCGGACGAGCAATTTTTGCGATTGTACTAAACGAAGCTGTGGTTTAGCCAAACACGAAGAAAGTCACAAAGGTTTGTTTATATAACGGGGAGCACAGGTATTTTGTGAAGTATTTCTGATGAATAAAATTACTAAAAGCTTGTAAGTTCTGTTTTGTTTACAACGACAGTATTACGGGAATTGAACTACAAATTGGTTAAAAAATATTTTCGTTGTTTTTGGTCATTTTTATTTCGTTTTGGTATATGCTAAAACAATCATTCACCTCAGTGTCGATGAATAGTCCAAGGATATTCACCTCCACACTATCCACACTATTCGCTTTATCGAAAGCAATTTTATTGGCTGTCCTCAGCCCTTGAAAGCGGGCAGATTTTTTGAACTAAAAAATCTTCCCAAAAGTTTTTGAAAAACTTAGCCTATGGCGGTAGTGACAATACAAAAATGAATTGCACCAAGCTCTAGACTTCATACTATTATAGCACGATGTAAACCAGAACATAAAGTTAAACAGTTAAAAAACTAGGCAGAAGATGCAAATAAATCACCGCAGCCAAGAGCAAATTAAAATGAGTAAACTTGCAAACTTTGGTTGCAAATTGTTGTAAAATGCGAAAAAATAGCCTTGCGAAGTTTACAAATTTTGAACACTTTTGTATTGCGTGCGGAAATTCCTACCATTTTCGGACCAAATGTAGTAGCAATGTGGTAGGAATTTTCGCACGCAAGACAAAAGTGTTCAACATTTGCAAACTTTGCAAGGCTATATTTTCCTCATTTTATAACATTTCGCAACCAAACTTTGTAATTTTACTAATTTTAGCATGCTCTTTCTAGCTGTGCTGGCATCTCCTTGCTTAGTTTTATAATGAGTCTATAATGGGAATTGTCAATTAGTAGAAACTGCAGTTGAATATATAACATTGTTCAAACTTCGACAAGAGTTACAATTTTAACATACAGAGTGTGGTCTATAATTATTCAGTATCCAAACAAAAACGTAAACAATATATTGCTGCCGAAGGCAGCACACTATTCTTAACATAAATTATCCCGTTTACTTTTTCTTTTCTCGAGTTATGTATTGCCGAGATCTCGATTTTGTGTCCGTCTGTAAAGATGTCGTAATTCTGGGGAAATAATTAAGGCTTCAGGAAGTTTGTGTAAATAGGGGGCGGTCAAAATTTGTTTTATATTGCGCACGGATCAAGTTCTTCTCAGGATTTCAGTTACGAGCTTATTTACATTCAGATTTTGGCCAATCAGTGTTACAACTGAAATCTGGTTGTACTGCAATTAGAACTTTTAAAACATTTATATGCAGGCCTTAATAATTCTCCTTCCGCCCGTTTCGCCGCGAGAAAAAAGGATGGCCAGATTGCAGGTTTTGAAAAGAAACTTTTATAGCTAAAGAAATAATTAAATCGTTTTGTCGCTATTTAAATTCTTCTACATGGCGAATAAATCTATGAAGAATAATTTTAAAATTATCTATAGTTACATGCCGTCAATTTTTTGCAGGAATGACCTAACTAAAACATTGTATGGTTTGCGATCTTGCAGGTAATGCATGACATCCGGCCGAAGATTCGTTGCAACATCCTCTTTTAGCTTAATTAAGTAGGATAACGTATTCTCAATAGTCACGAAAGAGAACTGATTCAGAAATTGTTTATTATTTAAAATGAAAAACTACACTAACCGCAAACATAAAATTTGAACTAATTAAGGTTTGTCGTCCATGCAATAATACAGAAACGTAATATTAGACAATCTCAACTTGATAGTGGTAAACGAAATAACTTGAATTTACCTTTTCTTCTTTTCTTTAATCTCCTGGTAATTCGAGATGAATGTTTCGCCGGCTTATCCTTATGAATTTTTTCTATTAAGAACCATTTCTTAAGTATCTCGATATTGTTTTCGTCTCGGGAACTAACATTACAGGTTTTCATAATATCGATATCTGCTTGTGGGATCTTCAAGTCGACCAATGCCTGAGATATTTGTTGCCATAAATCCTCAAATTGTGCTTCATCTATTTCGGTTGAGTCAATATAGGTATAAACTTCATTTTTTAACAATTTTATTCTTACGACATTCGCTTGAATAGATCTATCTGTGTCCGGAGGCATCGTATCCCACTCTGTTGCAGGACGGAGTAAATAACATGAAATGTGCCGTAAAAGAACAGTAAGTAATGTGACATCAAAGGATTTTAAGTCAGGTGGGTTGCCGGATGGAGGAAACAGTAAATTCCACTGGACGTCATTAATCAGCCGAGGATTTAACTTTAAAAGCGATTTTTTGTTGGCAATAAGAACTCCTTGTAGCCTGGCAGGAGGATGTATGTCTTCCAGCGCATTTCTTAAAGCTTCAGTTCCTTGCTCTACTATAAGTCTAATGAGCTTGAAACCATTTCCTTTTGCTTGAGCATTCATGATGAAGTTGCTGCTACAAAAACATACAGTGTATAAAGATACTTATTATATACATGACAAAATTGCTGCAATCTGATTGGTTAAGAGGAGTGCAATTATTTCAATTAATTATTTTTGTGATGGCTGGGGGGAGCGGTAAATCAAAACCACAAAATCCAATATGGCGGCGAAATTTAGATAAGTATTTCTAACAAATGTGGACAAATTTAACTGAATTTTGGCACAAGAATGAGTTTAAAGGCACAGTTCAGCCTGTTGAACGATGGTTTTTAAGGCGCATTTCAGCCCTGTTAATTGAAAAAACTAACTAGGAAAATCAATTAAGCATAATTCAAAATCACCAATCTTAATGTTTTTAACATTTTAAAACATTCATATTGTTAAAAACATCGAGTTTACTGATTTTGAATTATGCTTAATTGATTTTCCTAGTTAGTTTTTTCAATTAACAGGGCTGAAATGTGCCTTAAAAACCATCGCTCAACAGGCTGAACTGTGCCTTTAAGAAACATTGTATGCATATGGCAAAAAGAGCCTGTGGAAAATACCTGGAAACAGTCTTAAGAAATAATCTTGGCGGGTTGTAGCGAAACGTGACTATGTAAGTTTGAAATACAATTTATAAAGATTTTCTTAGTCTAAAATATGTTAACACTTTTTTGTTTGTGGAAACACCACGTAAATTTATTACTGCAGTAATAAATTTACGTGGTGTTTCCACAAACAAAAAAGTGTTATATATTTTCTCGCCATGCAATCATACAAAGAACTTATTAAAATATGTTGCTTGAGTTTGAATCTTGTGTTCTAGTTTAAGTTATGTAACATTATGAGTTTGCGGCTCGTGCAATTTTGGCACATTTTTCAAATATCACTCGTAGAACTGTTAATCATTAATTGCACTCCTTCCCGTGTGATTACCTATACAAATTAATAGCGCATGTATCAATTTAAAGGAATATGTATGTCAGTATGTATCTTATATAGGATATCTTATAGACCTTGTGTAAACTAGCATTAGTTAACTAAGGATCTAATTCAATACAAATCTTATACAGTATCCAGGATATAATAATAATAAATGATTCATAAAACGCTGTGCAATTACAGAAGAGCTGAATTACGCGCTTAAACAAGCTATGACAATGAGCTTTTACGAACATTACAAATATAAAATTATCAGTATAATTGAACAATATTAATTAAATAACGTACTAAATAAACCTTTACAATGACTAAGAAACATGCAATAAACTGAGAGAAACATTCTGTACATGTGCTCTAACTTCGGGGATTGGCTTTGTGGCCGCTTAATAGAGGTGGCCGCAAAATAGAGGTACGCAAATAATGGACCCTGAGCGTAGTCAAATCTTTTGAAGTGTAAAGCTTTTGAGATGTAAAGTGGCATGTGTTAAAACTTAATTTTTAAGCCTTATTTTACAAATTAGGCAAATTAGCTCGACTTTTATTTTCGGTTCTCGTGACAAGGCGTTGCGTCAAAGTAAATCCTGCAGGCTGGCAGCTTAAGGTGGCTCCCTACAGTTATTCTTGTTTAAGTAATAATTCCGTAAAACAGGCTTATTCGTACAGAACGCGAATTCTTTTCGACTTGGTGGCAATAATGGTCACCTAAGGAATATTTCGAAATAGATTTCGACAACGTCAATGTTACCATGGCAACATGACGACAGCATAAAGCCTTCGAATTTAACCCATAAATGTGCCGCTATCTTAAAAACATGTCAGTGACCTATCTTTTTTGTTTCACATATCATCAGGGAATGATGCTCTGCAACCGTGGTGAAACTTTAAAAAAATTCTGTATTGTGTGATTTTTCAAAATCGAAAATTTTATTGCGAAGTTTCCACACTAGAGATTTTTTAAAAATTGAAAATTATAAAATTTACCGCAAAATAAATTCGTGGTCAAAATTTGAAGATAGGTCACCGATGAAACTAATGAGTAAAATGCAAATAAAATTAGAAAATAGCCTCGTGTAACTCAAGAAATTCCCCTATTGAAAAGCGTCGCTGACTAGCTATAGTAAAAGATTGTACGCGGGCGCAGAACGAGTTTTCATTCAGCAAAATCGAGCGGCAATGTTGTTTTTACTGTTTTCTTTTTGTCAACTTTTCAATTTATTTGAGTGCCATGGACAGCCAAAGATTATTGTGAAGGATCAAATCGATGTAAACAAGGATGAAGCTAATTGAATCCTGCCGTTTACTCAATCTATTAGCTGTAACACCCTATTAACAGGTGAACGTGTTTTTTTTGTTTCATGTTTGGTTTTGTACTTTTTGTAAAAATGAACAATTAGGCTATGAAACTGAAATATTTTCTGTTTACAAATAATCACTTTAATCTTTAATATTGTAGAAACACGACCATGGGCGTACCGGGCGGGGGGACGGAGGGAGCGGCAGCCCCCCCCCCTGTTTGTTGGGCAAACAAAGCCAGTCGGGCAAAATTCGCTTTACAGTCGGGCAATATTGGCTTATTATAAAAATAAATGGGACAATTTCTGCCAATTTTGTGGGAAATATGCTATCTAATAGGAATTTTTCGTAATCATTCCTCCCCTCCCCGTCGACAACAATTTTGGAAAGTTTCTCCGGAAAACTTTTTTGACAACTCGGGCACAATCCGAAAAAGTCGGGCAAATTTCTTTCCGCCCCCCTAATTTTTTCCTTCCCGTACACCCATGAACACGACTAAAAACGTAAACGTTTTCTTGAGAAGTGAACAACTTTTTAAACGTTTGTATGCAATTTTGCAAATGTTTTACAGTTGACAGTGTATTATTTAAATTAGGTTATAACTATATATTTGTTCGTTATGAATGTTATGCCTCAGAAGGTTATACTGTACCAACTAAAAATAGTAATGAAACAAGAAACAACGATCAAAATCCAGTATCAACAGTGTACGTTAATCGCTACTCATGCATCTACTCTGTGATATATACGCTTTTTTCATGCCCTGGATATAGCCATACTTTTAAGGGGGCAATAATTATGTTTATACATTTTCTTGCCCTAGCTATAGAACTGAAACCTCTTCACCATGGTAGTTATTTTGTAATAATAACGTAAGGACTGGTATTTAAAAGAGAAATATTTCACTTTTATTTATTACGTGTGTATTTTTCACAAATAAAATCTGAAAATAAAATGGCAAAATGCCATAGTCAAAGACAGACGTCTACAGACTACAGTAGTAATCAATCAAACAGTGTTTACATGGAATTAAAGCAATTATATTGTGAACAATTCACAATTGCTCGCATGCCTGCAATTAGTTTAAACAGCACCCAACCTTTCTCGTTTTAAGGCCGCTTTCCATTGCAGTCGCTTTTCCCGCGCGGGCGGAGCCGGCTTTGAAAATCTGCTCACGCGGGCGTGACGGGCGTCAAAAACAATGAACGCTTCGCCCGCGCGGGCAAAGCGAACGTTAATCAAAAACGGTCTTTGAAGCAACGAAAGCGAGTGACAATAAAAATTGATGGTGGTTGCTGTATAACAGTGACTTTCTTTTAAAAATTGGTTTGCACTTACAAAGGAGATTCCTTGGTTGAAAGATGTTTTTTTATTAAAATGTAAACTAATTTCAAAAGCAGTTATTGCAAAAGTTTTCAAATTAATTTAATTTTGACAAGGCGTCGGCAATCATTTATAAACCATGCAGCATCAATTAACTCTAGCAAGGGCTGAATACACCATTGTGGAACGAAGATTACTTTGGCTATAAAGCCTCTTTTTCTTGATAAAACCTCCACCTTTTTAAAGTTCTTTGTTTTGTTGCCTGTATGCACTTATCTCATGGACTTAAGATGTGACTCTCTTAATATATTGATAACTATTAAAATAGGCACGCTATGCGTACATGTATCTATGCAAAACATTGAATTTGCCCAAAGTATTAAATTTGCATTGTTGCTATGAAAAATACTGCATTTGTAGTTGTTAATATTAACCTTATTCGTCATGATTCATGTCACAATGAATAATCAAAATCAGTGGAAAACGTTTTGATAGATTACAGTCTATTCTTTATATCAACTGTCCTGTGTTCAAAAAGTTGAAGTAAAATAATCATCCGGCATTAGACAAAGTAGTGATCAGTGAACTGGTAGTAACTGGTCAATTCGGGGGTTTTATATGGGAGTTGTATCTTTGCATTAAATTTCAGTACATTTGTATTTGGGGAATCCCTCTAGCTTTCATGACACACTTGATACAATTTTGTTCTTCAGTAACCGCAATTAACTAACATTAATTAAAGATGCTGTAAAGTCCGTTCTGCGCAAATATTCTGCGCATCAACATATTCCATCAGTGGGGGAGCAACACCACGGAAAAACGTCTGCGCATGTGTCAACCTTACCTGTAATAGTATTGCGAATTTGATGAGAAGCTGTTCCGAACGTTTCCGAAGGCTCAAAATGGCGGTAAAAAGGAGTGACTTCATTGTGTGTCTTTACAGCCAGATTTCGAGCGCAAAAATAAACATGTCATTCTAAAAACTAGGAATAAATACAGCCAGAAGATTCAAGAAATTGTATTGTACAAGAACGTGGACTAAAGGTGATTGTTGACAAATTTATCGTCTGAAACATTTTGTTTATCAACTAAGCAGCGACAATTTCCGAATTTTCGTTTCGATACATTTCTTTAAAAGAAACTGTGTCGCCAAATATAAAAAATTTTCGTGTTCACAATAATTAAACTTTAGGATTTATTCTACAATTTGAGTGGGTTAAAAAGCTTAACTTTTCGAGAGTTTTCTTAACTTTTTAGTTTGAATTTTTGTTTTGAATAATTCTGCAAAAATTTTCGAAGTCGTGTCCGTTAAAATCAACAATTTTTTACATGAATTATATTTCATTTCATACTTTAAATGCCAGGACGCTTTCAATTAATGTCTAGTCTACCCATTTGCTATATTTTCTCGTTTGTTTTACTAATTTTTGACCAATTAATAAGTATGTTTTTGTTTTAGAAATTGATATTCAAATTCCCGCCATATTTTCATAATTTGGTGCATGCGCAGACGTTTTTCCGCGGTGTTGTGTCTGCGTGGGTTGTTAATGAAAATTTTGAAACAACGTTTCGAACCGTGTTTAGTGATTCCTCGTTATTTTTTGCACATATTGTTCTCATGTAGGAGTGGTTCAACATTGTTTTCTCTCTGTCTCACAGCTCCTGGTGTAAGCAAGTGTTACCCTAATCCATGTTTGTATGCTGGTGAATGTGTCGAAAAAGGTGGAGGTTATCACTGCAAGTGCAAGAAACATTTTACTGGAACTCATTGTCAAAGTATGACTTTCTTACAGTTAAAGTATAAATAAAGTTTGTTGCTATTCAGCAAAACCACAGACACCCCAGATTATATAGTTGTGATAACTTTACATTTTTAGCCCGCATAGCATTGGGTCGCCCGCGCCGGCGCGCCTGCTTTTGGGGTACTATTAAAATTATTAAAACAAACATTGTTATTTTACCCAGTTTTCTTTTCCTTTCAGTTCTAATGGATGATTGCAAAGACTGTAACTCGAAATTCGCTCATTGTTTTCGTGGAAAATGTGTTTGTAAACCTGGCTACGTTGGAGATGGAAAAACCTGCGTTCCTGCTTTGTCTGGTAAGTGTTCTGCATGTGCTGGTCAGTGATCTCTATATAATATCTGGAGCGGGAACTCGAGATCTCAGGCCCAGTCCTTTCTTTGTTAGGTTGAAGGTTGAGAATTTTAGATTTGCATGTTATTGTTTACAGTAGTATAGTCAGGGAGGGGAGGGGGCACATATCAAATGTGAACACGAGTGCCACTGACCTAGGGGGTTCGGAGGCATGGTGTCCTAGAAAAATTTGAAATTTCTATTGTCTTTTGAACAACATGCCTTGCTTTCTATGTCTTAATCGTATATAGTTAAAACGTACTTTAAATTATGTCTCATTTTAACAGATGTAAAGGTTTCAAGTACTCCTATCATAAATGTAGTCAAACGAACGAAAGTATTGTTGATGAAATCGAAAACAAACTTAGATAATCCTAGTTGTTATTAATTAACCCATAACCAAATATTAAATAAATGTACGTAAAAATAGGTTTCTTGGTCTTCTTGTAATCTTAAATTGAACTGAACAAGTCAAATGTATATTCAATCATATATACATATCAAAGAAACAGCAGGCAAATGTACATTTCCACGCTGTGATTTATCGGGCCAATTTGTGATGCACTTTTTGATCTTGAAACAAATATAAGCTGTATAAGTTTTATTTTAAAACAAATAATTTACAAATAAAATACAAATAATTTACGTAATTGATTGCAATTTACATAGTTGATTTAGTATGACGTTAGTAATAAAATATTAAAAAGTTATGTTAATTAAATCCTAAAATACTGCAACATACTATACGTACAATATACAAACACAATAACAAGTAACAAATATCCTAAGTGTTTCTAAATTATCAATATATAGGTATTTATATCGCATTTAGGCTTTATCACATTCTTTTAAAAATTTGCATGCTTAAACGCAATAATTTTCCAACGTGACACGATCAACCGTTCAGTTATAAAATCAACGCGATACAGCCTCGTTTTCGTAGATATGACATTAGTTTTCTAGAGCCTCGTTTTCGTGTATTAGTCCAGTCAATCTGTGACCAGAGGTCAAAGAAATTGCAATAGAATTTTTTTCTGTGGTAAATTGTGAGGGAAGGTGTCCTGATTAACATACTAAAAATCCAAAAAAATCCCTTCGGTGGAACATGGTGAAAATCGAGTTTTTCTTACTTCTACCTATAGAAAACCATTGTGGACAGAATGGTGAAATTTTGAAATCATTTTTAGGCAAATGTGACCTACATTATTGGAAAGCATAGAAAAAACTAAAATATAGAACATTAAACGGTTATATTCAATTTACTGGTCAGTTTGTCGTTATTTTAGCTCAAAGTTGGAAAAATAGTGCAAAATTTGCACAAAATACAATTTTATGGCATTTTAAATCTTGTATAACTTCGGCTGGATAGGCAAAAGCAAGATAACCGTTTAATGATTTATATTTTAGTTTTTCTAAGCTTTCCAATAATGTAGGTTACATTTTCCTAAAAATGATTTCAAAATTTCAACATTCTGTCCACACTGGTTTTCTATAGGTAGAAGTAAGAAAAACTTGATTTTCACCATGTTCCACCGAAGGGATTTTTTTAGCCTGCGAACAGGCTCTCAAGCTGAATTGAGAGCCTGCATCGATGTCTAATGAATTTGAATATCTGCGTCTCAAATCGTGACGCGAAATTCTCATTGGTCAGATGCTATAATCTATATTATTCCACTGAGCTCTATATATGTCAACTGCTGAAGCACTATGCATAAAAAACACATTAACTGATCAAATTGGTCTTGGCCGTCTTATATCAAAGCACGAAATGTTCTGTTTTGAGAAAACAGTATTTAAAACATTTGAACTTTCGCTTGAATATCTTATATTTCGAAAAACAGTATAAACTGTACGGTCTAAATTTAGTTTGCATGGTCTAAATTTAGTTTGCACGAAAGTTGTAAACAACACCATATAAGGATAGACATTCCATATTTGGAAAAACGAACGTTACGGGGCAGATATTCAAATTCATTAGTCGTCGATGCAGGCTCTCAATTCAGCTTGAGAGCCTGTTCGCAGGCTAGGATTTTTTTTGATTTTTAGTATGTTAATCAGAACAACTTTTCTCACACTTTACCACTGAAAACAAATATATTGCAATTACTTTGATCAGGACCATGTACTTATAGTGACTTGACTGGACTATATGTGTCAAAGCTGGTTAAGACTCTTCCTGACGAATAACACTCGAATTTATGTTGACAATTGCAACATCATTGACATTTCTGACGATTCTGAGACGGACGATAGTGTGAGTGAAAGAAACGATGACTGATCAGAGGATGCAGCTGTATTCAGAAAAAATCTTGCAGGTCATGTTTCAGCTGCGCATTCAAACGCCTTTATGAATATGGAGGAAAAATTAGGGCTGACGCACATGGAGAAATAGATGATCAGTGACATCATCGACCAGTTTGCCAACAGCTCCTCGGCACTGAGACGGCTCCTATAATGCCATGAAGACATTGAATAGTACACAATATGAACATATTTGCTTTCTCCGTTTTGACGTTAAGAACATAAATTCATATTTCATTTATACATGCGCGCGTTACTTTTATCATAAAACAATGACAGTTGTAGATCAATGACTAATGGTAAAAGTGCCTACTAACGATTAAAATAGGATAAGGTAAATTTATTGGGGGGGGGGCAGGGCCCCCACCTAACCCAATCTTCCGGGCCCCCTTGAAGTAGCCAGTCCGGCCCTGCTGTACAGTAAAATCCACAGGACAAAACTTTTCTATATGTATAATACTGAGTGTATTGAGCGGATTTCCCAACAGATTATTGATAGGGGATTCGCGCGGTACCTACGATTTAACGTACCATTTCCCTCCACTGACGAATAAGAAAGTGTACTTCACAAGTTAAAGAAGCAATTAAACTTTATTTAAATTGTTAGTCAGCATTAAATAGCTTAATACAAAAAGCTTCCAACAGGCAACAACTACAGTATAAACTTGCAATCTGTATAAGTGTGGTTTAAGATTTTATTCATTTATTTCTAAGATACTGCTTCCACCCCGGAAAAGTACTAAAATCAATTTACTAATTTACTGTCCTGGCAACCTGTGCATGTCGCCTTGCACTTGACCATCATATAACTAGGATTAGTGCTACATTCTCCTTGTTTTGCCCAAACTGCACACTGAACTTTATTGGCAAGGTCTTTACAATCTAAAAAAATAAAAGTTGAAATTTTTGTACACTTTCTGTACAAAAAGGTGTGATTTCACATTTATAAATTAGTTCAGTTTAACTTCTTCAAAAAATTATATATTCTAAACATTTATTTTGGAAACTAAATTCGAGAATTCCGATTCTGAAGGTTAATATTTTATTTAATTTGCTACGTTTCGAGCAGTTTGACTGCTCGTCGTCAGGCCAACTACAACTTGGCCAGACGACGAGCAGTGAAACTGCTCAAAACGTAGCAAATTGAATTTAGTTTACAAAATAAATGTTTATAATGAACGAAGGTGAAAGAAAACGAAGGTGAAAGAAAACGACGGAATTTTCTGAGCCACCGTCTTGTTTTTTTCTACCGGTAAGATACACAGGCAGGATATATTGAAATGACTATAATGGAACGCTACCTTCAGATAAACTCTCTTTCCGTTTTTTTCATGCAGCCAAAATTTGGCCTGGGTGTCAAACCCGCGTGTTTTTTTTATGATTGACTGATTAAGCGCTCTTTGAATGCGTGAAAAGACTGGGACTGGCCTTTGAGTTTGGCTTCAAATTTCCGGTTGGAGGTAGCGTTAGCTAATTTCCTGCTAGTAGAAAGCAAAATCGAATTGCAGAATAGCTTATACCCGGTAGTTGTCTCTATAATATAATTTTGAGTATGGCTCACTCGTTATTTAACTATAAACTTTATTTTTGAACGGCGTAAAACTGCTAGAGCAGTACAAATGCCAAACGTTTTAAAATAAATAATATATAAAGTGGATGTAATTGATTTTTAATTACGTTTTATATAGACGTAACGTTCTATATAGACGTATTCCATACCTCCACAAAGCCCACAACTGGCCTTGCAATTGACACGCATGTAGCTTCGGTGTTTCTGACATTCTCCAGTGGTTGACCATGAAAAGCACTTGGAGTTTGCATCTTTACATTCTAGAGAAAGATTGACCAACAAGTCTTCACTGAAACGTTTGCAAATAAAATTTTAGTCACCCCCTTAGAATTGTAACTCACAAACCACCCCATTCCCCCTGCCAAACAAAATAAAATCCTGACGGGCGCCGCTGGTATTTTTACTTTTTTAGTGCATGTTGCATGCTATTTTTTAAAACAAGCGAGCACTTACTTGAGCAACCTGTGCATGCCGCCTTGCACTGGACCATCATATAACTAGGATTATTGCTACATTCTCCTTGTTTTGCCCAAACTGCACACTGAGCTTGATTGACAAGGTCTTTACAATCTAAAAAAATAAAACTTGAAATTTTTGTACACTTTCTGTACAAAAAAGTGTGATTTCACATCTATAAATTAGTTCAGTTTAATCTTGAAAAAATTATATATTCTGTTTTTAGTTCGCTCTTTAATTTCGGCATTATTTTTATTTACTAACATGTATATACAATTGCTGGAAGTATTTTTATTCTGTTTTGATTCCTCTTACTGTCGATGCAATAGAAGTGTTGATAAAATATTGCACCAATTCCTTTCCTCAAGTTGATCAATTAATTTGATAGAAAATTGATCAACTTCCTGTTTTAAATGAGCCAATTAGATTTCGTTTGAGAACCGATTGACCAATAGGAAACGCACAGGAAGTAAAAAGAAATTTGAATTCGTATGAATTGATCAACTTGAGGAAATGAATTCATGCAATATTTTATCAACACTTCCATTGCACCGACAGTAATGCTTTAAAAGCGAATAACTTGCCGTTTTCTCGTTCAGAAAACTCCGGAAATTTCTGAGCCACCATCTTGTTTTTTTCTACCGGCAAGATACACAGGCAGGATATATTGAAATGACTATAACTGGAACGCTACCTTCAGATAAACTCTTTTTCAGTTTTTTCGTGACGCCAAAATTTGACCTGGGGGTCAAACTCGCGTGTTTTTTTTATGATTGACTGATTAAGCGCTCTTTGAATGCGTGAAAAGATTGGGACTGGCCTTTGAGTTTAGCTTCAAATTTCCGGTTGGAGGTAGCGTTAGCTAATATCCTGCTAGTAGAGAGCAAAATGAAATTGCAGAATAGTTTATACCCGGTAGTTGTCTGTATAATATAATTTTGAGTATGGCTCACTCGTTATTTAACTATAAACTTTATTTTTGAAAGGCGTAAAACTGATAGAGCAGTACAACTGCCAAACGTTTTAAAATAAATAATATATAAAGTGGATGTAATTGATTTTTAATTACGTTTTATATACACATATTCCATACCTCCACAAAGCCCACAGCTGGCCTTACAATTGACACGCATGTGTCTTGGATTCTTCTGACATTCTCCAATGGTTGCCCATGAATAGCATTTTGAGTTTGCATCTTTACATTCTAGAGAAAGATTGACCAATGAGTCTTCACTGAATTGCATGCATAGACATACACACACGTAAAAATCTGACAACTTGTCAAAAAGACGTGTTCATAACAGTCTTAATCCTGGATTGAGAGCTTGAATATTTTATCAAGTTGTTACAAGGTTATCACTCACAACTTGTTGACAAATTGGTGAAATGCAGGACGATAGCAAGTTGTTGGAACAACTTGTAACAAGTTTGTTGAGCTCAACAACCTTGCAGCAAGTTGTCTACAAGCTGGGAACAAGCAGTGCGAACACATCCTGTTGACAATTTGTTGGAACAGCATTGCTACAAATCTGCTGCAGGTTTGTTACAACTTGTGACCAGATCTTATTTCCTGGTAACCATTTGGGCGAATTTTTCAATTTCATACAAAATTAGTTATATTAGCAGTTTAGCACGATTTCTGCTGGCAAAATGTATTTGGAATAGGTTTAACTTAATGTTTAAGTGTCCTGTTTAAGAAGTAGAAGAAAAACGAGTCTTCTCATTTCGTGGGAATATCGTGAGTCTGCAATCACGGCTTCAATTTTTGAATTGCAGAATAATTAGATGCACGATCTAGTGTATATAAGATATCTATGATTTCTACCCATGGATGGTTCGTTTGTATGAACACAATCCTCGATGAGCACAATCCTAGCTAAAGTATGAACACAATCCTGATGCTGTACAAAGCCTAAGAAACACTTACTGTCCTTTATTTTCAACAAGGGAAAATCACAAAATGAGCTTTGATTGATATGTAATAAAACATGATTTCAATAATGCGATTTTTAACTGCCCTCCAAAACAACAATGTTCCACCAAATATAGATCTGTAGCTTTTCAATCGTTCATACAGATAGCTTGTTGGGGATCGGGTTGCATCCTCTTCAGAAATTCTTTAAAATCTAGACTCTCAACTGGCATTTTCGCATTAAAATCATCGTATATACAGTACGTTCAACTTGCATCCTGCATAGGCTATTGAAACTTTAATAGTTTGGAGCTATGTTTCAAAAAACGCACACAGACTCAACCGTCCAAAAATACTTTTTCTATACCATGCATATTAGATATGTATAAATAACTTATAAGTTAACATGTACAAAACTATTCTTAAGCCCAGATTTTCTCAGGGGAGGGGCAACAATTTTGCCAGGGAACGCCACTGGCAGCCCGGTTATCGTATGTTAGTGGCTCCAAAGGCGGTAGAATCCCTGTGATGTTGTCCACTGTTCACGATAGCGAACTTAAGATATACGACGCGGTCGGCTCAAAGACGCGCTTGCGAAAGAAAGAAATTTGTCGTGCAAGACAAGAACTGTGAATAATTTGTGGTGCCAGGGGTATTCTCAACGGCTTTGTCACTCTCAACACAACGTTAAACTAAGCAATTATCACGTCTTTCAAGCAACCAATCTCGAAACCAGAGCCCGCAATCCCAGCAAGCCTCCACAGAGGATTGCGGGTTCTGGTTTCGAGATTGTCAAGCAACGCGAAGCTTATTGCGATTTTATTGCGACCCAAAAGGTGTTACTTAAAGTCGAAATTACAGCAAAGTAACATATATCGCTTTAGTTGAACTTAGCAGTTCTTAGTGTAATGTTATTTGAAAAATCTCCAAACTTTGATTACAGTAATGAAATTGCTTAGCGCTTATTCTTGAGCTAAAATTCAGACCGCGTCGTTGAAGCGGCCGCGTCGTGGATCTTAAGCTGTCTAATCTGTTTTGAGGAGAGAACACACAATCTGAATAGATTAGTCATTACTTTTTAGCCATAACAGAGCTTCCCGTTAAATAATTTTTGTACTAGCATATTTTAGCCCCGTTTACACTACGCTCAATTTTTTGTACGGCACGGATAAAATTGGTACCCGTACCACTTTTTCGGTTCTTGGACTATACCTAAATGGTCAGCCCCGTTTACACTACGCTCTATTTTTGGTACCGTACCACTTTTTTGGTTGTTGGACTACCTGTTTGTCTTCTGTGTAAAGCAAAATAAAGAAAAGTACACTTAAAGGAATATATTTTCTATTTTAAAACGAATCAACTATGCGGAAACTAACTGTTCTTTGAGCAACTTAGTTTTGCATATTGAAATCATGATTGAACAGTTCCCGTTTTCTATGAATATTCTAATTCGTCCAATCTCAGCTACATGTTACAGTTAATTCAACTGCACTCATCTTGTAGTCGAGCGTATACTATTGTATGTAACCAATGTGTTGGACTATTTATACTTACTATATTTCAGACGAATTGATAAAAAGTTGTAGGCCTATAAATTCTAATAAGCAATTCCAGCTTTTCGGCAATTCCTGATCACAAGTCACAGGGATACCCTCTAATATGTATGGGGAAATACTAATATTAACATCACGATCAGTTCATCTTAATCAAGCATTCTGGCTTTGTAGGCATGCTGATCTGATGTGTATACTGAATATTAGTGAGATGCGCGTACAGTATAGTCGGCAAAGGTTTTTATTCATTGGTAGAATTTTCAGGTTATGAAATAGCTTGAAGCCCAAAACAACATTATAGGTGTCTTAAAGAACATTTTAAATGTACAACTTGAGTTATAATTTCCTACAAATAAGCCAAAGTATAAAGCAAAACAAAAAGCGCATGAAAGTTATCAACTCGGCCTATATACGATGCAATGTAATGCAAAATTAGGCGTGCATTAATTGCGCGCATTGGTTCTTTTCAACGTGAGAAAAGGCAAACACAAACTTTTCAAATTTCACATCTAATTTTCTCCAAATCAGTCAACCAAATTTTGACCAATGTGGCCTTTGCCAATGGCCTATGGCCCTATTGATTGATCGATAATAATTTATTAACACATCCCAAAAAGGGCTTTTCAGTGATAATTTACAAATACATGTCCTAAAATGTTTAATACAGGTAAAACACTAATTATAAATACGTCTCTATATAAATCTATAAAATTAGCGTGATAAAACGTCATATATAACTAAGTTGAAATAAATCTTTGAACTAACACGTTCTTAAGTTTATTTTTAAAAGTTGAAATGTTTTCGCATAGTTTTACAGATTCATCAATAGTGTTCCATATATAAATGTGATATATAACTGTGCGTTGTCCAGAAGTTGTCCTAAACTTTGGGTTTAGAATGCCCTATGGGTTTAGAACAACATTAGTGAGGCAATGGCCTAATAACATGGACGCAACTGCACACTGCTGGAATGGAACCGCAGTCGAAGAGGCGCTATTAAACTTCGAAGCATCATCATGGGTCCGTGCTAAATCTAAATGCAATTATATTGATTTAATCACACATACCATCTGTATCATCAGAAAGCCCGAAAGCTAAACTGTTATGAACAGACAGCGTCAATAGTATCAACCACTGCAACATCATCTTCAGTATTTCACTTCAGTATTTCAATTCTCTTGCTTCTTCAAAGATATCTGTTCTTGAGCTCTTTTCTCTCGTCGAATGACAAACTGCTCAGCCACCCTGATTTTATACTGTTTGCCAGCTTCAAAATGGCCCCATTTTCCAGACAGTAAATTTGATGACCATTATTTTCCGTTGACTGATTTTGTTACTGTTCGATGCGCATTTGAGAGTTAGCTGACGCGACATGGCCACTCGAATTGATCAACATATCAATGGCAATTTCGAGGACGGGATGTGAGGGGCGGGATTCATATGATTTTGATTCACGCTCAAATGTTTCATACTTATAAAAATCTCACATATGAAATAAATTTTTCACATGAAATTTAAGTTTCGCATATTCGTTCACATTAATTCGAAATGAGGATGTGTGGACAAAGTTTCGTGAAATGAACAGTAACTACGCCCAAGCAAGTTCTTCAAAGAATGTCGCGATTAGCTTTCACATTTTCCACACAATTCTGTTAATGCATTTACGAAATTATCCGCGCAAAATCCGCCGTGCTGTTATCAATCTCGTACTCAGAGCATGCCCGTTCTGCTCATGAGATTGAGCTATCACGCTGGAAATTGTCTATTGCATGTTAAAAATTTAGCTCGCATGTCAGCTTCGCGTTAAAATATGGTAGAATTGGAACATTTGAACGCTGCCGGAATTCTGTAATCTAAAAGTAGATTATACAACTCAATAGAAACCAGAGGCGAAGCTAGAGGGAGTGATGCCCCCCCCCAGTCGTTATGGTAGTCCGCAAATTATCGTACCTAGCTGTATTATTGTAAACGAGACTAGGCAAAATTTCACTTACAACCCCCAACCCCCATTCCAAACTGAATTATTAATACAAGCAAGCAAGCGTCTGTGAGCAGGCTACGCGGTCAAGCGAAGATAAGAGTTGATGACAGTTAGCAGTCACGAATTGTTATAGGTCCACATTATAACAAAACAAAGGTTCGATGAGTGTTCCAACTATGTTTTTAACTTATTATAGAATAGCTACATGATTATATTTGGGAAAGCATTGAGAACAGCTGACCAAGGTCACGTGACTTACAACTCTCGTGCACTTCTCATCCTCGTTTGATCATATAGTCTTTCGACTCTTTCGAGACATGGTCTGGAAACTCAGTAAACTTCAAAGCGGTTATAATGGGCTGGGAGTTTATGTTGAGCCGTACCTTACACCGTGCACATCCTTTGTTTTAGGTTTATTAGTATTTAAGTAGCATGGTTGAATGCAGTGGCGCCATGTGACCCATGTTTTTTGGGGGGCCAAGGGCAGTACTTTTCCAACAAACCGAAAAAATTTTCCGACAAATCCATTATTTCCAAATAATCAGCAATGTGATACCTTACTTCCCATCGTCCCCTGCACGCACAAACTAAAAGCTGGAATTGCAGTCTCAGCTACATGTTACAGTTCAACCGCAATGTAGCCCGACGCAAAATGCGTCATTTGGATGCGCAGTGAAAACTCCGAATTGTCTTATACAGGCAACAACCGATCACAAGTCACAGAGATACCCTCTAATATGTATGGCGAAGTACTAATATTAACATCATCAGCTCATCTTAATCAAGCATTCTGGCTTTGTACATGCTGATCTGATGTGTACTGAATATTAGTGAGACGCGCGAACTACCAAATGACTAACTTATTTCAAGACATATAGTCGACAAAGGTTTTTATTCATTGGTAGAATTTTCAGGTCAAGAAATAGCTTGAAGCCCAAAACAACATTAGGTGTCTTAAAGAACACTTTAAATGTAAAATTTGAGTCATAATTTCCTACAAATAAGCGAAAGTAAAGCAAAACAAAAAGTGCATGAAAGTTATCAACTCGGCCTACAATGCTATGCAATGGAAAATTAGGCGTGCATTAATTGCGCGCATTGGTTCTTTTCAACGTGAGAAAAGGCAAACACAAACTTTTCAAATTTCACATCTAATTTTCTCCAAATTCAACCAAATTTTGACCAATGTGGCCTTTGCCAATGGCCTATGGCCCTATTGATTGATCGATGGTAATTTATTAACACATCCCAAAAAGGGCTTTTCAGTGATAATTTACATAAAAATATTTCCTACGGAAATATGGTTTTTTATGTCAAGCCTGAATTATAGTGATAAGATAAAAGTAGGAAATAGTTAGATTGGATTGTGGCAGAT